AGGAGAGGAGAGAAAACCCCAACAATCCCCTCTGAGCAAGCACTTGGCGACAGTGGGGAGGAAAAACTGCCTTTAAACGGGCAGAAACCTCCGGCAGAACCAGGCTCAGGAGGGGACAGTCAACTGCCGGGACTGGTGGGGGGGTTAACAGAGGTGGAGCAAGACGAGGCTACATCAGGTGAGGAAGCAGTAGCGTCTCTCCTCTGGAACAAGTGGAACCATTTTTTCTTTTTTTCATGCACTTTTCCACGAGCGCTTTTTTCTGCAGGATGAGATTTCTCAGCTCGTCGATGGTTTCTGCGTTTTTTTTCTTCAAGTTTCTCACATCTTTGTTCCATCTCTTCCAATGCTGCTTGTTGTTCTTCAAGCTTGTCTTTGAGTTGTTTGGATGTTGCCTCCTGTATCAGCTTGTCCTTGTGCATGTCTGCATTTCTCTGTTGGACCTCTTTGTGCTTGTCTTTTAACTGCTTCTTTCTTTTCTTGATTTCTTGATTTTTGTCTTCATGTATTTTGTCTTCTTGTTGTTTTTGTGACTGCATTTGAGTGTGTTCACTCTTCAAGTTATTGAATTCCACCAAACGCCCCTTAACGAGCTCGGAGTTGTTTCTCGCTATCTGATCGATCCTTTTCTGCATCTGTGAGCACCGTTTCTCCAGTTTGTCCCTTTCTTCTTCCACTTTAGTTGCTTTGTCCTCCAGCTGATTACAAAACTCTTGCAGTTTTAGATTTTTAGACTGAAAGTCCTGGACGATGCGTTTTCCTTCTTTCAGTCTTTTTGTTGTTGCTCTTTCTGTTGAAGAAGGTCTTTATTTTGGCGCAGTGTTTCATCCAGGCTTTCTTTCAGCATGCGGTATTTTTCCTGCATGCTCTTCAGTTTGTGCTGCATGTCTTGTTGCTTTTTGTCCTGCTCTTCCTTCTGTTGGAGGAATTTATTCTTTTCTTCCACAGCTTCATGGAGCTGTCTTTGGAGGAGCCGATTTTTTCGGTCCATGTGTTGGAGATCCCGCTGTATCTTATCAGTCATCGTTTTCTTGTCTTGGAGCTGGTTGGTCATTTCTTTTAGTTCTGCGCGCTTTTGCCTGTTTTCTTTATTGAGGTGCACAATCTGCTCTCGGGCCTGAGCAAACTTGATTCCCCAGCCCTCATTAATAATGTTTATGTCCGGCTGGCGCTGTTGTCTTTCTTCCAGCTCTTTATTTTGGGCTTCCATTCGTCTACACTTGTCCTCCAGTTGATGTTTTTCTTCTTCAATTTGTTGCATTTTTTTCTGGAGAAGGTAGTTTTCCTTCCTACTCTCCTCTAATGCCCTTTGGAAGGATGAGATGCCATTTGGGGAAATTGGCTGGCCACTCCAGGAAGGAGAGGCGGCGTAATCTTTTTGAATTGGTTGTTTTTTTCTTGGAAACATGTTGGAGTTTCTATACGATGACTTTGAAGAGCTTTCCAAATGTTTCTGTGGTGAACGTTTTGTATGCTGCAAACACAGATGCTGCTGAAACGAACTAAATCTTGCTGTTTCTCACCCCTATTTAAGGAAAAACATCAAAGGACTTATGACGTTCTATGACATCATCACTCCAATGAGATTGTCACAAGACGTTTTGGAATGGGGTGTTTTTTTTTAAACTGTTTTCAAACTTAACTTAAAATTTCAGTGTTTCCTAGTTGTGGACTATTGGTTAGTCCAGCCGATGAAGAAATTAATTGTCACAAACATCCCTAATATTACATAACAGACGACAGAAAACAAGACAGTTTTTTTTCTAATAGAGGTATAATAAAAGTTTTTTTAATTATCCTACTTTTTATAAAAGAGAACATTTATTAAAGAGTATGTATTTAATTAAAAAACTCTGTTCATCTAAAGCAGGGGTCAGCAACCTTTAAGACCCAAAGAGCCATAATTGGCCTATCTGGGGTTGAAAGGCTCGATAAATGCACGGTGTTTCGCCGGGTACACCGGCTTCCGCGAGTGTGATGCTTATTTTGAGCGATGAAAAAATAACAAAATAATTTTATTTGTATATTGCAAAATCACAATATCTCCAATTTAGAACTACAAGTAAAAAAAAATGAGAAGAAAAACGAAAGAAAATAGAGTATCGCTATTTACCGTCAACTAACAGAGTTCTGTCATTTCTCGTGACAAAGTGCCAAACTGGCCTCAGTCGTGTTTTTCTTTCTTTCATCTTCTCTTCTTTTGTTGTTTTGTTTGAAGCATTTGTTTAATTGTTGTTTTTTTATTGTGTGGAAAGAATTTTTCTGAAATATAGATATAGAGAAATGATATTATATTAGTTCTATATAAAATGTGTACAAAGAGAAAGTATATAAAGGTTTTCTCAGTGGGGATCTATGCATGAATTATTTTTAAAGACGCGGGAAAAGGACACTTACCTGTCGATGCACGTTTCCCAAGACTAACGAGTCATATCGCTCCATGTTTGCTACTTTTGGTTTTTGGTTTTCTCCGCAGAGTAAGAGCATCGCAGGAGCTCCTGAAGTCAAACGACGCCTCCCAGCACTCATTTATTAAAACCGGAGTCGGATGCCAAAGTCTTAACGTTAGAATCAAAGCAACAGCTGTGAACTCAGTCATGGTGTCATGTGCACCTCATTTACTGTCACTACTTTTTCATTTTTAGGGTACGTGAGGTAAAGCGTCCGTCGATGTAGCTTGATGTACAAAATTATTTTTCTACGTTATTAACAAAACAGAGCAGAGACTGATGCTGCTCCTGTCTGACCCCCTTGTGTATGCACGTGTGTGTGGTGTGTGTGTGTGTGTGTGTGTGGTGGTGTGTTGTGGTGGTGTGTTGTTTAGGAGCGGCAGTCGCTGTGTGAGTGTGATATCACATCTGCATCAACCTCAAGCGTAGGCGGGCCCGCGTCAGACAACAATAAACAAAAAGCAGAAAAAGGCCAACAGTAAAAACTCAGACTCCAGCAATGAGCTCCTTCCTGCTGCTTAACCAATCACCTTCCTCCATATCATCACTGCTCCCTCCCTCCTCCTCTCTCCATCCTACACCACCTTTGTTATTTAACACCGACCCCCCCCAAATCTGATAATCAGACAAATTCCCAAACACCTGACTTCACTGTGTCGACACCGTTCCTGACTATTTCTGACCTCAGGTCAGCTCTGCTATTATCCTCACATTAAGGGTTCGTTCACCTGCCTGCAGATGATCTGTGAGCTCGTCGGTTGTAATTAAACTCTAAGCACACTGAAGGTAACCGGGAGGCGTTCAGGCCTGCAGTGCAGAGCTGCAACATGACAAAAAGGGATGGGGGCTCAGATTCCTGAACAGGTGGAAACAACACGGTGGTTTGTGCTGTTGTGATTCCTGCTCCGTCACTCTGGTGGAGACGACTGCAGCTCAGCAGCGCTCCCTGCTGATCCTCTGATGAAGATGTCAACAGTATGTAAACTGAGCTGATGTGCTGCTGTTTGAGCCCACGTGGTAGCGTACGTCCAGTATGGGAGAACTTAGTCACCGGTGCTGTCTTTGCTTGTGCTCTAGCTTTAGCCTGTTTGATTGTTTGTTTTCTATTTTATTACTGCCTAAAAGGGGAGGTGGGGGAAACACATGCCTGACTTCTCCTGTCAGAGGTTTTGTAAGCTCACTGGAAGGGAACGTGCACAATGTAAATCATAAAACAACTGACTGGGGCTGTGCTGCAGGTGGATCAGTGCTGTGGACAGTAGCTGTGGAAAAGAGACTGGACCAAAGACTCTCAGCCTTAAATACAGGACAGAGGATGATCCGATCATCTTTCAGCAACAGTGTCGAGCAGAAGGACGGCCGGCTGATGCGTCCGTACGAACCCTTTTGTACTCACTCCTGTGTATAAGGAGGCGGCGAGGGTTGTGTAGTTAACCTCAGCACCACACAGCTACAGCAGAGGAGAGAACACAAACGAGTCCTTTCATTCGGCTCTGTTCTTTCTCCTTGTCTGTTTTATAAGCTAACACTAGAGGGCGCCATTGTGGCACATTCAGCGCTCACTCTGAGGTCACTGGACAGAGAAGAAAATACCAAACTGGGAGACGGATGGAGACGAAACATCTGGAAGATCAGAACTGTACATTTTTAAGTGTAAGAAAAAAAAAACAGACAAAATATTTGTAAATATTAAGTTTCTTGTTTATTTTATACATCCGGCCCTGTATGCTTCAGGAAAAACTGAACAGGATGGAGGTGGACCCCTGCCTGGTGGCTTGGATCTCCGACTTACCTCACCGACAGACCACAGTACGCCAGGCTGAAGGACATCACGTCTGACCACTGTGGTCAGCAGCACAGGAGCACCACAGGGAACTGTGCTGTCCCCTCTTCTCTTCACCCTGTACACCTCTGACTTCTCTACAACTCTGAATTATGCCATATTCAGAAGTTTGCAGATGACACGGCCATCATGGGTGTATCTGGGATGATCAGGAAGAGGAGTACAGAAGTTGGTGAGGAACTTGTCGCATGGAGTCACACAAACCACCTGCAACTCAACACCTCAAAGACTAAGGAACTGGTTGTGGACTTCGGGAGGTCCAGAGAAGGTCCACTGCCGGTTCAGATAGAGGGGAGGAGGTGAAGGTGGTCAATAAGTACAAGTACCTCGGGCTGTGGGTGGACAATAAACTGGACTGGTCATGCAACACAGAGCACCTGTATAAAAAAGCCCAAGCCGACTGTACTTCCTCAGGAGGCTGAGGTCTTTTAACATCTGCAGGAAGCTCCTGAGGATGTTTTATCAGTCAGTGGTTGCTGGGAGTACTTTTCTATGCTGTGGTGTGCTGGGGAGCAGCACAGCAAAGAAGGACTCATCCAGGCTGGAGAAACTGATCAGGAAGGCTAGCTCTCGTGGTCGGCATGAAGCTGGACACTCTGGTGACAGTGCAGAGAAAGGACATTAAAGAAAAACTGCTGGAACGTTATGAAACAATGCTGGCATCCTCTGCACACGGGCCATTAACAACCAGAAGAGTCTGTTCAGTGACAGGTTGCTTCTCTCAAAGACCAAGACCAACAGACTTAAAAACTCCTTTGTCCACACGCCATCAGACTGTTTAACTCCTCTCTGGAGGGGAGAGGGAGGGGAAACAGGAGGACAAAGGAGGACAAAGGAGGGGAACAACTAAGCTGTAGTGCCTCTTCACCTCACTGTACAATACCTTTGGTGCAATACTTTTGTAAATAGTCAACAGTGCAATAGACCTCAATACTTGAAATGTTGCAATTCACTTGTATTTTTTATTTATTCCTATTTATTCTATTTATCCCCTTCGTATATTTTATTTATATTGTCTCTGTATTTATGTGTGTGTGGTGTGTGTGGTTGTGTGTGTGTTGTGTGTGTGTGTGTGTTGTGTACATAATATATATATATATATATATATATATATATAACATTCTGTAACTGTAACTTCTGTCGGTGCTGTGCTTTTTTGGAAACCGAATTTCCCAGAGGAACCCACCCGAGGGATTAATAAAGTTCTATCTTATCTTATCTTATTTTATGTTTTGTTTGTTTGTTTTTTGGAGTGAATGAATGATATGCTTATTTTTGATGACAAAAGAAACAGGTGCAGTTTGTAATGAGAAGAAAAAAATGGCCGTTAGCTAGAGGTTTCAATGAGTCATCCTTACCACCGATCAGTTTTGTCTTGTTTTTCAACATTTATTTTATTTTTGTCATAACGTTGATCGTTATCATGTGACCATCCTGTAGCAGGAAGGTCGCTGTAGCAGAAGTCATCTCCACTGAAGCCCCTCACAGCAGAGGGCCAGTCATGCTGTTTATTAGCATTTGCTAGTTTTCAGTGAGAAAAAACATTTTCATCAAGTTTTAAATCCTTTCGTTGCTCTTTTCTCTGCGATTGTCATAAATCGTCGTCCTCTTTCAAGCCTTAGCTCGCTTTTATTTTGAAATATGAGTCTTGTGATCAGAGATGAATCTGTGCTGCATGATGTGCGTAACATCAGAGCGATAAAAGCCAGCTTTGCCTTTCAGTGATTCGCAGTAAGGACATAAATGACCTAAACTGAGACTGAAAAAAGTGCAGTCAGTTAAATGTTAGCTCACCTAACATGTAGCAGTGTTTACATGTAGCCATGTTTGGACAGACTCCAGGGCTTTGATACCATAAGATGGCCTCATATCCTCACAGACTCATGAGATCACACAGGTGGTCTGACCTGCTCGTGTCACACTGTTGCTGGTCTGTCTGTCCGTTGTTTTTCTCCTGCAGTGATGTTATGTAGCAGAAAACAGTTGGATGCTGGAAAAGTGCAGAGCGATGGGT